AGGGAAAGGAGGACAGTAATATATCATAACAATTTAACGGATTTGCAAATTCATAACTTCAATTTGCTCTATTTTACTTGGCATAAATATGTGCCAAGGAGGCACATAGTCTGAGAGCACCACAGACTATAGTGTCTGAGTTTGTTTTTCCTGACTGCTTCAGAAATTAAAGCTATAATTACAATTCGCCTTTTGAAGACCAGATGTGATTTCTGTGGATCACTTTGACTCATCTTCTATGAAGAAAATCATCTGAGAGGTTTACAAATTCTATTTTCAAAGAAAAGTCATTCATATATATTTTGTGCATATATATGTTCATGCTTTGAGAAAAATGTCAATTTCATCAAAAGATTATGCCTTTTACAATCTACATTTTTGTTGGATTTCTCAAAATATTTTAAAAATACTTCACTATGTAAAAGTTGTTGTATTTTCTTTTCTGACATATGTCTGATTTCACTAATGATGCTGTTCTATTCCCTTCCTGGCTGCGTTTCTTGCAAATCTTTACATGAAAATAAAAATAAATTGACTTGAAATGAAATTATAAACTGAAATGTGACACAGATATTTGTTTTCTAAGTCAATTTCTGCTCATTTTGGTCTGCTTCTCAAAAGAAATTGACTCAAAGGAATTAGAGCTTTTGATTATTCATCTTCTCTCACCTCTTTTTTGAGTTTTACAACTGCTTATTTCAGATAGCAACACAGTTTGTTTCCATAGGAACCAACCAACTACCTCTCTCTAGAGCAAGAGCTGCCACCAAAAGCTGCTATTTTCAAAAGCAGATAAGTAGTATTTCCTTGCACAAAGAGAGCTTGATACAGGAAGTATTTTCATAGTCTTTGGGGTATAATCAGTATCCTGGAGTTTTTTAAGTAATGTGCTTGTAAATCCTTGAAATTTCTGGTTTTACACAGCAAAATAAGAAAATCACTGGAATGGTGTATATCTCAGGTATTAAATACTACTGGACACAACTTTTCGAATCCTGGGTTGCGAAAATAGACCAAAACTTACTAAATATTTAGTTGATACATTTATCTTTTCTCTTCTTAAATTCATGACACTTTATGTGAACTAGCTTGTTCTTCATGCACAGCAAAGTTTAGAAACTATTTATAATAAATTAAGTGTCATAGAATGGGGAGAGTAATTGATGGCTCATATGAAATAAAAGATGGTAAAATGTATATTGAACTTAGGCATTAATTTGAAGATAAACTCTAGAGAAATCATGGCAACATGTATTTAATCAGAAATACTCTTAGGAGAAAGGTTTTTTTGTTGCACTGCTGGTGTCAGCAACAGGGTTTGGTTTCCATGACCATGGGAGCCTGTTTGAAGATCAACTTCTGTTTGGGAGAGATGGGATCCACCTAACTTACTGGGGTACATGCGTCTTCACCAACAGGTTGGCCAGTCTGGTAAGGAGGGCTTTAAGCTAGGAAAGATGGAGGAAAGGGAGAACTATAGAGACCATACAGTCAGCAAAACAGGGCTTAGGTGGAGATACCTCCAGCAAGTGCATGCAGCCAAGGAAGTACCTACAAGACATGACTACGGGCTATCTTCTCGCACCCCTCCTGGGAAATTAGCATGCTCAAATACCTCTCTGAAGTGCCTACACAAATGTATGCAGTATGGGGAATAAATGGGATGGCAAGAAGGAGAGGAACCTCCTGAAGTTCAACAAAGGCAGGTGCAGGGTCCTGCACCTAGGGAGGAAGAACCCCATGCACCTGGACAAGCTAGGGGTTGACCTGCTGGAAAGCAGCTCTGCAGACAAGGACCTGGGAGTGCTGGTGGACAGCAAGTTAAGCATGAAGCAGCACTCTGCTCTTGTGGCCAAGAAGGCCAATGGGATCCTGGAGGGTTGCATTAGGAAGCAGGTGGAGGGAGGTGATCCTCCCCCTCTCCTCAGCCCTGGGGAGGCCTTACACCTGGAGTACTGTGTCCAGTGCTGAGCTCCACCGTACAAGAGAGACCTGGAGCTACTGGAATGAGTCCAGCGAAGGGCTACAAAGATATAGGGACTGGAGCAGCTCTCACATGAGAAGAGGCTGAGAGAGCTGGGTTTGTCCAGCCTGGAGAAGAGAAGGCTGAGGGGGGATCTTATCAATATGCATAAGTATCTGAAGGCAAGGTGTCAAGAGGATGGGGCCAGACTCTTCTGACTGCTGCCCAGTGATAGGATGAGAGGCAATGGGCACAAACTGAAACTCGGGAAGTTACATCTGAACACGAGGAAAAGTGTCTTCACTGTGCAGGTGAGAGAGCACTGGAAGAGGTTGCCCAGTGAGGCTGTGGAGACACACATAAGCTATCTGGACAAAACCTTGGGCAATGTGCTGTAGGTGACTCTGCTTGAGCAGGGGTTTTGGACAAGATGATCTCCAGAGGTGTCTTCCAGCCTTAACCATCCTGTGATTCTGTGATTTTCATCTCTGATTTTTTCTGTCTTCAGTATAATTTCACAACCAATACTGCTAGCTTTCCAGGATGCTCCATTTGCTGCTGAGTTTTTAATCATCCATATGTGAGTGTCTGAAACTCATGAAGAGTTTGAATGCTTTTCTTTTTCTTTTTTCTTTCTTTCTTTTTTTTATGGTCAGCAGTGATAGAGTTGTCTTCTTGATCTTAACACATCTGTAGTCATTAATGTTTCCATCTGATAGCACTGGACAGAGAAAATGACGCTCATAAAAACCATGTTAATGCAAGCAGTACAATAACTACAATATAGTATTTCAGTCTAACGTTGCTGTTACAATCTCGGATTTATTTCAGTGACACAGGCTAGTGCAATCAGCTCTATGGAGATAAGAAGTTTTTTGTTTGGTTATAGTTCAGCCAGAAACAGAAAGCTTTCAAAGATATTTGTAGAAAACTTGGAAGCATAAGCAGTAAAAGTTTTTGTTCAGGAGTGTCTGGAGAGGAGGGATCATGAAGGAGAGGTGACACATTAGGATTATTCCTATGAGAATATGTAAGAGCTTAAATATAAGTCATATTGAAAGAGGTCAAAGGTTCTTCTGCTCTTTTTCTTACAATGGTTGGTAGTAAATACCTAGGGAAAAATGATAAAAACTGGGATGCATATAGAGTGATCTTCTCTTTGCTATTCCCTGCCCTAGCTTTTGGCAACCTAACTTCTGGTGACTCCTTCAAGCACCAACTTCATTCAGAGTACTGTGTTTAGTGATTCTACTATTCATGAATGCACCAAATCTCTTTATTGAAATCCTTGTACACTTTTGACTTCCACAACATTGTAGAACAGTTGATTTTTCAGCATATTTATTTGTTATGGCAAAAAATATCAATTTATGTTTTCTCTAATTGATAATATCACTAGCTGGTTCCTATTTCTTCTTATGTCTTCCCACAGGTACCAGAGTTTTTTTGTCAGGGTGGTATTTACCAGCAAAGAGGAAGAACTAAAGAGGTTTAATTACTGACATATGCTACTCCTGGAGTGTCTAAATATAAAGTACACAAAGCATCAGGAGTTTAAGAGAGTGACTGGCACCAGTGATCTAGCAGAGTTTGTCATGGCAAAGGTTTTTTGAAACAATTATATTGTGTTCTATGTTCTCAGCAAGAAAACACTGTGAAGACCACTGTACAACAGCCAGTTAAGGCGGTTATAACATGAGTGGAAAATATTTCTCCATGTAGTGCAGCACTTTTACCTATGTAATGAATATGACATATGAAGAACATCGTCTCAGAAAATGAAGCACAATCATGTGATGACCTCTGCTGCCAAAGTAGTAGAAATGATTGTGTGGTGCAGAAGTCCTTTCGCATCCTAACGTGGAATCTGTGGATAAGTCTATCCATTTCTGATGACCACAGTGGTTCTGCCAGCAGAACCATTAACTCATCTTCAAGCACTCTGAGAAGACCCAGCAATGTCATTACAAAACAAGGTTTTCTAATGTCTACTGTTATCAGCTGAAGAAATGATGTTTGATCTTATTACTTACAGTTATATAACATCTGACTACTTTTTAGCAGCTTATAGATAGGAGCAGCACACTTTTCTTCAGAGCAGCCAAAAAGTCTAGATTTTTATTGCAGAATCATGCATATTCTACTAGCCTAAGCATTCAATACTGGTGAAGAAATGTTAACATTAGAGGATAGCATGGAAGAACGCTGAGCATGACTTAACAGCCTTATGTGTTGTGATTCAGAACAGCAGTTACCAAGGGTTTTTCTTACTTCTACAGAAAACACTTGCTGACTTGTAGAAGACACTTCGGTTCACGTGCAAAGTATGTTGAGTACTACCTCGCTCTGTTCATCAAAATCGGCATTGTCAGGCATAACAGCAGACAAATTGGCACCACTTAATAGCCAGATTGCATTTACTAGAGCAAAAACTGATTCAGATATCCCCTTTTTTAACCCATGATTCCATCTATTTAGACTTTTAACTTCACAAGGTATGACAGAGAAGTTGCCAGACCTACCCACAAAACCAATCAGAGAAACTGAATGGTGGATTTTTCAGCCATTTTTGAATGATATCTATATTTGCTCCTCCACTCTATTAAAAATTTGTAAGTGTTTGTTTCATGGTAAGATTTGTAAAGTTTCCATTCACATACAGTTTTGTGAGTTGCATGAAACATCTTGCTTAAAGTGATTTGCTACCTGCAAACATTTGGAAGAAAAGCGTGCTCAAAATAAGTAGCCAAAAGAAACAAGCTCAACATTTCTGTATGGAATATATTATCACAAAAAATACACAAGGTGAAGAACACTGAAAAATCAGCTAATGACCTTTTTATCTTCCTAAATTATTTAGATAAGTTCATTAGGTCTTAGGTTGGCAATTCCTTGTAGATCTGTATATGCAAAGCAATGCATTAGTAACTTTTAAAAATCACACCCTTATAATTAAAGAGTTAGCAGCTTAATAGGTAAACTTATTATTACTATTGTTATTGTAATTTTTCCTACCATTTCTTTCTTTGTTTCTCCTCAGATATTCAAGTCCTTCTGGAGGTGAGGGAAGAGTGAATATTCACCTGAACTGCAGAACCTGCTGATATATTCACTGTAAAAATAATTTTTTAAAAATTCGTGTTGTCATTCCTCAAGTTTAGTAATGATAAAATCATTACAGTGAGATGATGGTAGATATTAACAGATAGAAGGAAGTTAGTTTAAACAACAGATGTTTATGAAGAACTGTAATAACTGAAGAAAACGCACACCCGTGATACACTTATTCATTTAGCAGGGCCAGCCTTCTCCAGTTAAAGAGCTTTACTCTAAGCTTTGACACTTGGTAAAAGAACATAGAAATCAATATTAATTCCACCTGTGACTAAGTGAGAAGTAAACATGCTGCTTATTTTCATCTGTCTGAGCATGACCCATATCTCTTTGCAGGTATAAAAGAAACCTTTAAAGGTGAGAATTGGACAGCACAGAGTTATTGGAAAGTATATGGTGAGTGACAACTTATTTCTATTTCCACTTTTGGTATTTGAAATTGGTGTCTTGTAAATACAAACTGAATTGGCAGCATGTGGGTGGAGAGGGAAAAGAAATCCAACCTATTATCCTCTGTGGGAATTGAAACAATGCACATTGTAATATATTTCTTGTTTCAGTTGTGTCTTTTAATGAATCTATGTAATTAGCGGAATTAAATCATTATTACTTGAAGGGATTTCATATTAAGTGACTTTGTGCTATGAAGATTGCTTTAGCAAATATATGTGATTTGAACATGAAACATATTTAGTTTTTGGGCAGGATATTAATATCATATTTTTCTGATTGGTAAATCAGAGAAACTGCACACAGTTCTTAGAAGAACTTTGTATGGCAAATCAAATTTTAAAATCCTCCTCTTTCTTCATTTATCCTTGTATTTAAATGCATAATATTTTAAATAGTCATTATGGTTTCCCTATAACTGTACTAATGCTTTCATTTTATTATTACTATATAGGAATTCTCAAGATGTAAATTATGTCACGTATTACTTGGATCGTTAATAACATTTTAAACTAAAATTGCAATAATTTAGAAAAACTTTTACTCTTATTGTGGTGCTGTTCGGTAACCTGTTGTGCCTCACTCATTTTGCATGGTAAGGCTGTGTGGCTCATTGTCATGTGAAGTAAAAGCACCAGTGCTCAAGGCTCCTGTCATGCAGCAAGCTCTTCTTAGACCTGGCATCACAAAACATGTGTCTGTCTAAGCCCAGAGTATATATCATTATGAGATTGTTATGGAGTTAGAGTGTAGACTTTTACAGCAGAAATACGGAACAGTTAGCTGTCCAACAACATAATCTAAGATTTATATGAGTATTAAAAATGAGAGCGAGAGAAAGAGAGAAGGCTTTGCATTTTGAATTGAATTACTTGGCAGTGCCTCCTTTATGATTTAACAAAAAATATTCTGATAACCTTAATGAATTTTGTTCAAATTGCCAGTGTAGCCAATGATAAAAAATACTTGTTAAAACGCCACATATGACTGCAAATTCACTACGTTAGGTAATGGTGGAACAGCATCTAAGTAGACAAACAGCACAATTAATTTGTTCACTTCTGACCATCTAAGCCTGTTTTAGCAAAGGAGAAACTTCTGTTTAGAATATCAGAGTTATCCTCTATGTCTTTAAGAAGAAATCTACAAGATTATTCTAAATTCCAGACAGAATGGTCATGAGACAATGGGGAAAGAAACTGCAGCTTAGTGTGTTTTGAAAAGGAAAATAACATAGTCATATTTTCTATGCAAAAATATGCAAGATACAAAGTAAGCTTCTTGAATAATCTAGGAGATTTTGACTGTATCTAAAAGAATATCATATAAAATTTATCATAAAACAGCCAAAAGAGAGAAATAGATGGTGAAATCATGGCTCATACTGTTCTGAATTACTCCTATAAAAGGCAAATACAGATTTTTAAAGTTTGTTCTGCACAGAACTATAGCTCAGTGTTTCTGATTCCAAATAACTGAATCAAATTTAAAATTTTTCGGCTCTGGTAGAAGGTTACAAGGCATAGAACAGCAGGCTGAATGAAATAGTACTATTCAGTCTTTGGACCTCAGAGAAAATCCTCTTACTCTGTAATACCTCTCCCAACCCTTTCCCCCGGTTAACAGAAGTTTCCCAAGCTGCAAAAATGAAACCAAAGCTCTTTAGGGCAACAGCAGTTAAATAGAGCCTGGTGGCTGAGGGTCGGGGTGGGGGAAGAGCAAAGTTTAGGAAAACAAAAAATACTTAAATAATTATTTGAAATAAGGGATTTTTTTGTGAAGCGATAATATATGGGTATGAAAATGGCAATTTTTCTACATACATATAACCAATTGTAAAAAAGGCAAGTAGTCCTAGTTCTGGTTAAACATCAGTATTAGCGGTGTCTCTTGGGCAGAGAAGTGCCATAGACAACATCCTTCATACAATCTAAGCAGGAACGTAATGCTCAGTATTCATCTACGTTAGTAAATAAGTTTTGATCAGGAGCGCATTTCTAAGCAGATCTTCCAGTCATCCCACCTACTCTGCTGTGGGTCACATCATAGTGATACTGGAGAGATCTGGAGCTCTTTTGGCTAGTGGTGTCCCCCAGGGGTCAGTCCTGGCTCCAGTCTTGTTCAATATATTCATCCGTGACCTGGAGGAAGGGACAGAGTGCACCCTCAACAAGTTTGCTGATGATACTAAGCCAGGAAGAATGACTGACACAGCAGAAGGCTGTGCTGCCATTCAGAGGGACCTGGACAGGCAGAAGGGTGGGCGGAGAGGAACCTCCTGAAGTTCAGCAAAGGCAAGTGCAAGGTCCTGCACCTAGGCAGGAATAATCCCATGCAGCAGGAGAGGCTGGGGGTTGACCTGCTGGCAAGCAGCTCTGCCGAGAAGGACCTGGGAGTGCTGGTGGACAACAAGTTAAGCAGGAGGCAGCAATGATGTGCCCTTGTGGCCTGGAGGGTGCGTTAGGTGGTATGCTGGGGTGCATTAGGCAGAGTGTTGCCATCAGGTGGAGGGAGGTGATCCTGCCCCTCTCCTCAGCCCTCTCCTCAGGCCGCCTCTGGAGTCCTGTGTCCAGTTCCAGGCTCCCCAGGACAAGAGAGACATGGCACTCCTGGAGAGAGCCCAGCGGAGGGCTACCAAGATGGTGAGGGGACTGGAGCATCTCTCCTCTGAAGAAAGGCTGAGAGAGCTGGGCCTGTTCAGCCTGGAGAAGAGAAGACTGAGAAGTGATCTCAACAATGTGTCCAAGTATCTGAAGGGAGGGTGTCAAGAGGATGGGGCCAGCCTCTTGTCCGTGGTGCCCAGTGACAGGACGAGAGGCAACGGGCAGAAACTGAACCACACGAAGTTCCATCTAAACCTGAGAAAAAACTTCTTCACTGTGAGGGTGACAGAGCATTGGAACAGGTTGCCCAGAGAGGTAGTGGAGTCTCCTTCGCTGGAGATATTCAAAACCCGCCTGGATGTGATCCTGGGCAATATGCTCTAGAGGTCCCTGCTTGAGCAGGGAGGTTGGACTAGATGATCTCCAGAGGTCCCTTCCAACCTAAATGATTCTGTGATTCTGTGATTCTTTTAATTTAGCTGAAGTATGAGCTACAATAATTCATTTTATTCACCTCAACTGCTAATGGACATTCAGCACAGAAGACCACTTTCAAAGACCTTCTACCACCTCATATTGCTTACAAATGTAAAGTTAGCCTTAGTTTATTAAATTAGTGATTGTTTTCTCTCACTATTTGGCACAGCCTTGCTGGTCCCTGATGTTACACATGGGAACCACTTCGCCATGTCCTGAATAGGAATGACAGTGTCCTGTTTAATCACTTTATCTGAGATATATTCATCTCTCTGTCTGTCTGACATTCTATCTGTATATCTATCTACATAAACCATAAGAGTATTCAGAATGAGTAAGATCAGTTGTTCATGCTGCACATACAAACCTGTTCCTTCTGAGCTGCCCTTACTACTGGTGAATGGTGGCACACTCCTTTTCCCTCTGAGAGCTGGCTGCTTCTTGACCTGGAAGTGGTCTGGATCTCTTTCTCTTTTCTACCTCAGGAATCACTAGTGTTTCTATGTGTATGTGACAGATCATGCTGTATGTCATGAAGCTTCTCCTCCTCGGCACCTCTTCATTTTAAGTTGACCTTTTTGAAACTAGTTCTGTCCAACTCTTGCCAGGTTGTGGTTGGTATGGAGTTTGAAATGGCTAGCAGTGTAAAGCTGTTACTAAATATGGAGATGTATCTGAATAATTCAAATGCAATGTGCAGACCTGAAGATACTGCTACTCTTTTACTCATGTTTTGGGAAGAGCAGGGAGGTGCCTTTTATTTACACCCTACTCCCAGTTTAGTGCATTCCTAATTTATATGTTTTAAATAATTTATCCAATGATACCATAACAAAAGCTCACATATCTTGCTGAATAGGTCAGACTGCTAAAACATTATGGTTCCTTCCATATTTATTATTACAATCTGTGTCATGGCCAAGGATGATCTTTAGAACCGTATTTTATTATTTCTCGATAAATGACCACACTAAATGGCAAGTCTAATAGCAAATTTGAAGCTCTGAAATCAAGGGGGAAGGAAACACTAAGAAGCAGTGGCAGGAATTATGTGACTGTACTGCGCATATAGTGATCATATTGGAAGAAATGTAATCAAGGCAAACACCACACTCTTAATTTGACACAGACTTTTGGAAAAATCTTAGGATGGATATTGAAAGAGTAATTAAGCATCTGTGTGCAGTCGCAGGGCCATGATCTCATTGCAGTTGCAGAGACAAAGTGGGATAGCTCACATGACTGGAGTGCTGTCGTGGGTGGCTACATGTTTTTACAGGAAGGAGAGGTGGGGGAGTTGCCCTCTATGTGAGGGAGCAACCAGAATGCAGGGAGCTCTGCCTCGGGGTGGCTGAAGAGCAGGTAGAGAGCTTCTGGGTAAGGATTAAGGGGCAGGCTAAAATGGGTGACACTGCTGTGGGGGTTTGCTACAGGCCACCTGATCAGGAAGAGTCGATGAGGCCTTCTACAGACAGCTGCAAGTAGCCTCACAATCACAGGTCCTCGTTCTCAAGGGGGTCTTCCACCACCCTGGCCTCTGTTGGAGGAACAACAGAGCAAGGTACAAACAATCCAGGAGGTTCCTGCAAAGCACTGATGATAATTTTCTGACAGAGGTGATGGAGACACCAATGAGGAGGGTGTGCTGCTGGACCTTGTCCTAACAAAGAAGATGTGGTTGGAGATGTGAAGGCTGGGGTCAGCCTTGGCTGCAGTGACCATGAGATGGTGGAGTTCAGGATCCTGCGAGGAGGAAGCAGGGCAATGAGTAGGATCACAGCCCTGGATTTCAGGAGAGCTAACTTTGGCCTCTTCGGGGACCTCCTGGGAAGAATCCCATGGAATCAGGCCCTAGAAGGAAGGGAG